TGGAAGATATTTTAAATCTACACTACCCATTTCATTTTATCAATCAATAATTACATGCCAAGAGAGAGGAAATGACTTGCCAAGGTCATACAGATCATTAAAGGCACAATTGGGATCAACAAGCCAAGTCTTCTAACTCTTAAGCTACTTCTCTTTCCACTATCCTATACTCGAATATGTAACCTTTACAAGAAATAACATGTTAGTTCAAAAAAGCTGTTTAAGAAAGGTAACATCTGAGAAGCCAAACTGTGAATTTCCAAAGATGTTCAGATTTGTTTTCCTTTCATTATATTTGAATGTAATAATCTTTGTTTTAAAATAAAATAGTAACAATTTTTTTTAAAAGACTGCAGAAAACAACAATTAACTATATAAACACCTGTTTTTGGCAAATGCCACAGATCTATTTCCAAATCTTGTCCTCCACCCCAGTCTCCCTCCCACAGTGACCCAATGTCATCACTTTTGCAGCCCCAAAAATGTGCTTTTGGTGTCCCAGTTTGATGCTGCTCCTCTGCTCACCTGTGCGGCTCTGTGAAAAGCGAATTTTAAGATCTGATGCCTCCTCCAGAATTTGCCTGCATGCGGAAGAATGATGCAGAAGGAGGTAAAAAGGCCGGAGCAGTTGGGGGCAAGATGAAAACAGTCTAGTCATTATCAGTTAAAGCGTAACTGCACGCGGCAGCGTGCCGAGCCAGACGATCGGCAGAGCCCATGAAATGTTGCTGGTTTTCCAGATAGCCCGTTCCGTTTTGTCTCAAGCAAAACAAACAAAAATGTGCATAATTGTACCCAGGCTTCAAGCCTGTTTTATTTCTCCATTATACCAAGGAAAACTTGAACGGTGGCCCCACCAGAGTGAGGCGCCCGTGTGGGTTCCTGTGAATAATTGTTTATCCACATTCAATTAGAGAAGCAGCCATTAAAGGGTTTTTAGCCTCTGACATTAGGGTCTCCTGTGAGTCGGAATTTAAAACGGATTCTAATTCCACGGTCCTGAAGGCCTGCTCCAATACCATGAATTTTGCAGATAACTGTAATTTCTCCTGTAATAGACCCTTTAACTATGAAATATTTCAATTGCATTATACGTTTGCTTCTAAGAGAGTATATGGAATGTATTTTAACCATTTCCTGGACAATCCAACATTGTCATGACCAAAGTCAACGCTCCGACTGGCCTGAAACTACCATGTTGTTTATTTAGGGTTTCGAATTTTGGATGAGTAGAGTTTACCCCACCTTTACTCTGTGATGTTTTGTTAAAAATTGAATTTTAGAGCCTTTCTTTTTTGGTTGATGCCTGCTTTGATCAAGACAGAAGGGTTGAAGAACAGCAGCAAGGCCGCGTCTACACCGGCAAACCTCATCGACTCCCGTCAGCTGGCCAGCAGCTTGCCCAGTTCACCACTCCTGAGGGGGAGGCTGCAGTTTGCCGACCTTCCTTCTGGCGCTAAGGTCACACACGTAGTAGTGCTGCTAGGACTTGAACTTTGTCTGGTTTGCCTTTCAAGTACTTAGTAAGTTAAAAGAAAAAGAAACAAAAACCGTGTTTCTTTTTAACTTACTAAGTAGGTTAATAAAAGGATGCAGGTGCTTGCTGGTGGAATGTGGGCAGAAGGTTCTCCAGGTCTGATGTCAGCACTCTTCACCCTGTCGTCCACAGGGCACGGGCGGAATGCTGCCGACCACGCACGTGAGAGCTGGCCAGGGTACGATGTGCACCCTTCCATTAGCATGTCATTTCCAGCTCACATTTTCCTTTTCCTTTGGCACCAAAAATGTCTTCGGAGAAACATCTTCACAAAGCCCCGTGCTCTTTCCCCTATACCATGTAGCCCTAATGGACTCCCAGGAATAAGGCAGGAGTTGGAGTGTATGCACTCCAGCCCACTCTCGCTGCTAAGAGGGGACTGTTGTTTCCTTCTTTTCCTATGTTCCAGATGCTGAAGTGGCCAGATAAGCAGCCTACAGATAAGTGAGGTCCACAATTCATCACACACCGATAATGCTGACATGTCACGGTTTCCATATCTTTACAGAGGCAACAAATGGGTAAGAGAAACGAGTAACACTCATTAAAAAGAGGCCAAACTCGTCTCCAGATTTTCCCTTTAAGCTTCATTCCTTTCATTCCAAACTTTCCCAGCAGAATCATTAGTGACTTTATCAGAAATATTAAATACTTCAAGCATAACCAGCTGCTGTAGATGCAGAAGCCTTCATTGTATACGGTTGACCACACACTGTTTATTTTCCTGGCATTCTTAGTAAAGTAACAAATGGAACAGTATTACGTGAATTGCCAAGTGGCCCAAGAACAGGCAGAAACAAGGAAGACTGGAAGTAGTCATTGCTACTCTCTGCAGGCGTCGCCCTTCCTGCTTGCACAGAGCTCCCATGACCACTGCCCGTTAGCAGGCCTCCTCCCAATCTCACACTACCACAAGCTCTGCCCAAGAGAGTCTGCAACCAATTTTTGGCAAAGCGAGTCCAGACTAACCTTCTCATATCTAAATAAAATGCCTCCACTGAAATTCCATGTGATCTGTGGATTGAGACATTGACATGCAGCTTTGGTTAGAAGTAGGCTGGAAAAAAACCCCGGTAATCAGCCAGGTGCAGTGGCTCACGCCTGTAATCCCAGCACTTTGGGAGGCCAAGGCGGGCAGATCACCTGAGGTGAGGAGTTCGAGACCAGCCTGACCAACATGGAGAAACCACGACTACTAAAAATACATAAATTGACCCGGTGCGGTGGCGCGTGCCTGTAGTCCCAGCTACTCAGGAGGCTGAGGCAGGAGAATTGTTTGAACCCAGGAGGCGGAGGTCACAGTGAGCTGAGACTGCGCCATTGCACTCCAGCCTGGGCAACAAGAGTGAAACTCCGTCACACACCCAAAAAGGGAAGAACCCTAGTAATCAAAATTGCCCTAAAAAAATACCATAAAGGAATAAAACAACTCCAAAAAGCAGAGCCACAAATCTACCAATCTGTCTTCTGGGCTGATTTAATCATGTGTATTATTCAGCAGCTGTGTGTTAAACAGTATAAGGGAGACATTATGATGAGTATTTATTTTTTCCCACTTTTCTTTTGCAGAGTTAGGTCACTGAAGATTTTTGAGTAGACTTACATGAGAAGTATTAACACCCTTTTATTGCTATAGATTCAGATATTGTTATTGATAAAGTTTTTTATTTGGGTAAAATAAACACGCAACTAGAAAACTAGAAACCTGGAAGAAAATTTAAGATGCAATATTTGAAAATGGAAACAAAAGAACAGGAATCAGCCAGGCACAGTGGCTCACGCCTGTAATCCCAGCACTTTGGAAGGCCGAGGTGGGCAGATCACAAGGCCAAGAGATTGAGACCATCCTGGCCAGCATGGTAAAACCCCATCTCTACTAAAAATGCAAAAATTAGCTGGGCATGGTGGTGCACGCCTGCAGTCCCAGCTTATCAGGATGCTAAGGCAGGAGAATCGCTTGAACCCAGGAGGTGGAGGTTGCAATGAGCCGAGATCGCACCACTGCACTCCGGCACAGGCAACAGAGGGAAACACACACACACACACACACAAACAGGAATCCTGTGTAACTATTTCTGAATTAATCTTTTAGTCATTCAAATTGTTCTTTAAGAAAGCAGCATTTCTGTACATAGCTTAACTGTAAATCTGAATGGGACGTTATCTCAGGAAACTGACAGTAATGAAATGCTGCTACAAAGGCACATGGCGTAGCTGCACTTCAGTCAAAGGTGGGACGAGATTGCGCCATGGAAATTATATACGACGAGAAACTGCAGAGTGTCAAAAGACATTGCCCCCAAATGTTCCACTGTCATAGTTCCACAGTTTTACCGCATAGAAACCTAAAAGAGTAGCAAAGTATGACACATTTATTTATTTATTTATTTATTTATTGAGACTGAGTCCTGTCACCCAGGCTGGAGTGCAGTGGCATGATCTCAGCTCACTGCAACCTCTGCCTCCTGGGTTCAAGCAATTCTCCTGTCTCTGCCTCCCGAGTAGATGGAATTATAGACACACACCACTCTGCCTGGCTGATTCTTGTATTTTTAGTAGAGACGGGTTGGCCAGGCTGGTCTCGAACTCCTGACCTCAGGTGATCCACCTGCCTTGGCCTCCCAAAGTGCTGGGATTACCGGCGTGCCACCCTGCCCAGCTGCATTTCAGTTTTTTAAACTGCCTTACTGCGGTGCTGTCCTGTAGAACGTACAGTGGTGAAGGAAAGGTTCCGCATCGACACTGTCCAGTGTGGGCGCTGTTGGGGTGGCAATGTGTGTCCACAGAGATAACATTGCCCGTGAACGTGACCTTATCTGGAATTAGGGTCTTTGCAGATGTATTGAGGTCATGCTGGATTACGGTGGACTCTAAATCCCGTATGACTGGTGTCCTTAAACGATGAGACGGTGACACAGAAGCCCCGGCGGGGGAGATGGCCGTGGGAACACGAAGGCAGCCATTGGGAGTGAGGCAGCTCTAAGTGAGGAACATCAAGGTCTGCCGGCAGCCAGCAGCAGCCAGGGCGAGGCGAGCGGGATTCTCCTCAGGATGCTACAGGAGCATGGTTGTGCTGACATGCTAATTTCAGACTTCTAGTCCCCGGAACTGAGAGAGAATCAGTTCCTGTTGTTTTAAACCACATAGGTTGTGGTGAATTTGATACCTAAAGTCCTACTTTGAATCCCTTTTGGTTAAAAAACTCTATTCCCTAATTTATCTTGTGAGAATCCAGCCTTTTTGCTTAAAATGAGATTTATTTTACTTTCTGAGAAAGGAATCCACCATACTTTGATTTAGATCACCACACGGTCTGGAACTCCATTTAGTGAAAATTAAATTTTATGATTCATAATGCCAATGTTTTGCCTCTGTTTTCTACATATTCACAGCAGGTGAAATGTGTTCAGGAATTTAAAAGATGAAAACATGTGTCTTTTAAGTAATGACCACCAAGAGCCACTGCAGATACAAACAGCTTTATTTTTTCCATTCAAGCTTTATCAAATAGCTTGTTCAAAAAGCATGTACAAGAGCAAAAAACACCACATGCAATCAGACTTGCTTTGCCTTATAGTCACTGGTTTCCTTTCAGAAAAGAATGTGCACTTGAATAACTTCTAATCCAAACATTTTCCAACTGTTTCTACTTCAAGTTAGCAATGACAGATACATTTTAGTTAACTGTTCATCATACGCCTTCTCGTCTTTATTCATACTCAAATAATATAAAGCCTATGAAATCAAACCATATACTGTCCAGAAAGCTGAAAAGGTTCTTTTACATAATAGATTCTGACACGTTAAGAAACTACACACAACAAATATTTACAAAATGAACAGAAAATAGGATAAAGCTATTTAAGAGTGAACATAGTAATATTTCTTATCTAAATAATTTTAATCAAATGAACAATATATTTCTCTGATAGCTTCTATCTTTTAGAATACAAAAAAAGTGCTCAGATTACATTTAAAAAAATAACAAAAATCTCTTAGAACAGAAATAATTTAAATAAAGATGGTACCATGGGGAATCAAAATTACATCTTTGATCCCCAAACAGGAAGGTAGGTGTGAATGTATTTGAAATCAGAAGGGGACACAATACTAAGATCGCAAATGCAAAGCTTCCTGCATTAGAAAGATAGAAACTGTCTGCAATTTGCAAAGTTCTTGTGTCTCTCTATGAAAGCCATGAACATGAAATCGGATCTCTCAGCTAGACTGCCTGGCAAGTAACAAGTCCGGGTCACTTTCCTTGACTGTGCTGTTTTAGCCCACTATCAATAGTCACCCACCTGGGGCTCAAAAGGACCAAGAGGTGTCCTTTTAAGACACTTTGACTGCTGGGATCGATACACTACTCTCAAACAAACAAACAAACATATAGAGCGGCCAAGCAGAAGGATCTCCACGTCCAAGTCACTCTGAGGCTTTGCTGGAGCCAGCCTACAATGCCACCCTCAGGGAAAGCACAGTGATTTACAGACAGGAATCATTTTCCTCTAAAAATGAATTTTGCAGGAAGAAACCAGAGTTCGGGTAAGACGCTGAAGTCAAGTTTTCTCTTCATTTGATATGCAAGAGTCGTGATCTTTATGAATACCGTTTCACATGCTAATCACAAACACAAAAAGAGGGAAGACGCAGCTGGTGACATCAGCTTGGACATCCAAACGCTAAGGGGGCCAAGTACGGGCCCCACCCTGCTTATTTTAATAATGCTGAGACTACTTACCACACTTCGGAAGCCTTATTTTGAAATTTATTTCAAATTTCAGACATGTCCATAATTTACTGTTGAGGAAATAAAACAGCATGTAGAAGATAATTCTATTTATATTAAAATTACATAGGTATGTGTGTACACATACATAACAGTTCTTTTCTTCTTCTGAGTATAATGGATTTTAGTGTTTTTTTAACTTTTTATTTATACTTCTTCTTAATGTTCTAACTGCTTACACTGAGTATCACTTTTGTTATGAAATAATCATAAAATGAAGCTCTTTTCATTTTAGAGGAAAAAGAAACAAAAGCTCTACAGATTCTGAAGGCAGTTCCAAGTAAGAGTCTCTCAAAGACTCTTAAGAGACTATCTTGCAGGTCAAAATCCCAGAAAAATGTAAAATCTTGTGGTCAGAGAAAATGGCTTTGCTCACTACTGTAGCTCAGTTAGCAAAGTACTCGGCACCCAGCAGCTGTGACATACACACTCTGAACGAAGAAATACGGCTGACAAGGATGTTGAGTTTCTAGAGATTTCATTCTTAAAATCACTGTCATATGATCCTTTTTATTCTAGTAAGCTGAGGGTATTTTCTAATTAATGTTCGGTCGAAATTCAGTACATTTTAGAGAAAAGTTTAAAAGCAGCAGTGGGATTCACACTACTGTGTTTTATAATGCGGCTTTTAAAAAAGGAAGAATCAAAACAGAAAAATGGGCAAAATGGGGACGAAAAAGGGCTTGCTGGCCAAACAGCTGGAAGCAGAAGAGGGGATCAGCGGATGAAGAGGGCACAAGGAAATAACCCTCCCCTGTCCCTCATCCTGTTTCCCAGACAGTTCGACTATAGCTAAGGAATGGACATGTCCGATTCTCCTCCTGTACCTAACACAGTGCCTGCCACCTTAGAAGGTGGGCAAAGGACTCAACAAAAGAGAGAGGGAAGGAAGGAGCTGGCTTCTGCTCTGAGTTACTAAGCGTAGTAGAAGCCACCCTGACCCTGACTCTCAAATCAAAGGGCAAGAAAAGGATTGTTCTAGCTCTTGTCCTGGAACAGAGGTCAGAACGATTCCTTCTTAAATGTAATTTGTGGCATAACTATGAAAGTAATCACATATTAACTAATTTCCACTAATAACCGAAGACAAATGTCATGAGTTGCAAGATAAAAAATCAGTGCCTATTTCCTTTGGATGAGGCTTAGATCAAGACAGAAACCAACATTTTTCTTCAAATAATTCAATTTCTTACATTTTTAGCGATAAAGCAAATACTGTAGCTACAGCAATTTGGTATTTTATTGTCCCAAGTGGGAGTTTTTTAGAGTAAAAGCGGGTACTACATTCTAGGGGGAAGAAACCATGCCAAGACAACTGACATGAACAGGACTGTCCTGAACAAATGACACCTGATGCTAACACAAGACCCTTTTTAATGTTTTATTTTCAAGTTCTCTATTAAACTACCTAACATTTGGCAGAAATTTACTATTGAACACTGAGTAACCGCACACAGTTCTGTTCTTGAGAAGACATATTTTCTAAGTGATGAAACGAACTTTCCACCTTCCTCATACGTTAGGTTTCCTAGCACAAGCTAAGGGTTGAAATGGGCCTGAGGAAACAGTCTGTTTTAATTTCTCTAACAGAACCAAAAAAACACACGACTGTGATTCAGTTACTTAGATTCACTTCTTCATTTTACAAAATATAAACAGGAGAATTTGAGCATACCTTGCTCTGGGAAGAAACCTCCAAAATGATAAACCCCAGTTATGGGGGCTAGGTCACAACACAGTCTTAAAATCTTTATATTAACCATGAGATTCTCACAGATACATTGCCACAAAATATTTTTTAAAAGCCATAGATAGTCAAAATAAAAAATGTTTGATTTGTGGGTGGTGACAGTTATTTCCCCACAGGTAATGAATATATTTCCAGGCACAAATCACCGGCACAACACAGGACCTCTGCAGCAGAGGCGACAGGTCAGTGTCTGAGCAGCAGCATCCGCTCGGAACACTTCTGCCCCACCAGGCTTGCATACTGCAGAACGGCGGCCTCCTCACTTGGGTCTTTCTGATGTTTCTTATAAACACCGTAAGGCATAATGGCTCTCTTGTGAAACACCTGCAATCGATCAGGTTCTGTACTGCGATCTTCATCCACTGCAATTACAAAAAATACTGATTTTTAAAACATCACATATCAAACTTTCCATTTCCCTTTTACTTTTTTGAAACAAAGTGTTGCTCCGTCACCTAGGCTGGAGTGCAGTGGCGCCATCTCACCTCACTGCATCCTCCGCCTCTCAGGTTCAAGTGAGTCTCCTGCCTCAGCCTCCCAAGTAGCTGGGATTACAGGTGTGCACCACCACACCCAGCTAATTTTTTTATTTTTAGTAGAGATGGGGTTTCACTAGATGGGGTTTCAACCAGACAAGCCTGGTTGGCCAGGCTTGTCTCGAACTCCTGATCTCAAGTAATCCACCTGCCTTGGCCTCCCAAAGTGCTGGGATCACAGGTGTGAGTCACTACTGCACCCAGTCTTTTTTTTTTTTTTTTTTTTTTTTTTTGAGCCAGAGTCTCACTCTGTCACTCAGGCTGGAGTATAGTGGCATGATCTCAGCTCACTGAAACCTCTACCTCCCAAGTTCAAGTGATTCTCCTGCCTCAGCCTCCCAAGTAGCTGGGACTACAGACAGGTACACACCACCATGCCTGGCTAGGTTTTGTTTTTTTTTTTTTAGTAGAGACGGAGTTTCACCATGTTGGTCAGGCTGGTCTCGAACTCCTGACCTCGTGATCCACCTGCCTCGACTTCTCAAAGTGCTGGGATTACAAGCGTGAGCCACCACGCCCAGCCTAGCCTTCATTTCTTAATTTAAAAATTTTAAACTTAAAACATAAATATGTATTAAGATGTCTTTGATCAGTATGTTCAAATAAGGGTGGGCAGCATTAACATTAACACAAACTTGAGTATGTTAGCAATTAAGTAACAACTACCATGCTGAAGGTGATGAAGACCTTCCAGGATGACAGCTGAAATCAAGCAGAGACAAAGAAGTATGTGAATTAAAACACTGGCCTCCTGCACCTGTATTATTTTCTGGCACATGATAAAGTTTATGACTCTCCAGCATCATTCCTGCATCTGAGTTAAGTCTGTTTTGCCTCCCCCTGTACCAACATATTATCTGAAGTTTTAATCTGCCCTGAAGCTTTTGGCTGACTCCACAGTTGTGACTGACCAGGTCTGGACAATGCACACTCCTAGTCTTAGGTAGGAGGGCAGATGCTTTCATGGAGGATTCGGAAGAGAATGTTGGTGGCTGCCACCATCTGTCCTCTTTTCACATGAAACCAGCCTTGGTTTTCTTCAGGGCACACAGGTCACCCAGACCAGTCTGTTTCGCAGCCTTCCGGAGGCTGGGTGTGGCCGCATCACCAAGTTCCGGCCAATGGGATACAAGTGAAAGTGTTCTGTGGAAGTTCCCGGGCGTCTTTTGCAAAGGAGAGCTGAGCTGTGCCTTTTGCCGCTTTCCTTTTCAACCTTTCCTTATTCTGTTTCCTGGAGCGTAGACATCACGGCAGGATCCCTACCCTCTACCTGGAGTTTCAGGCTAACAGCTTACTTTCAGTTCAGCCAAAACAAAAGGTAGAAGGAACCTGGGCAACTGAGGACTTCAGGAAACAAAACTGCCACACCAGCTCCGGGCTGTTTCTGTCTAGATGCTTACATTACAAATAAACTATTTTGTTTAAGCCAATACTATCTTAGGTTTCTATTACTGGCAGTCGCTCCTAATCCTAAGGAGTAGAGAATAATGTTACAGCATCTACTAAAATGTATAAAGCTTTTTATCACAGACTCAGCCAGTTTACTTCTAAGAACAATCCTACAGCAGAGGTTCTCAAGCCTGACTACATATTGCAATCATTTGAGATTTTGAAAAATACCAAAGCCCGATCCCCTCCCCAGAGACCCTAATTTAAAAATTGGTCTGAGTGGGACCTGAGCTTCAGTATTTCCTCAAGTTTTTTAAGGCTGGTTGAGAACCACTGTGTTAGAGAAACACCCACACAAGTATTTCCATGCATGTATGAGGCTGTTTATGGCAACACTCTCTAATACTAGAAACTGGAAACAGTTGAATGTCCATCGATGGAGAAGCAGGTAAAGAGTTAAGGTCTATCCACAGAATGAAACGTTATACACACTGTTAAAAAGACAACGAGAGACAGACTGTCAAGAGAAAGGAAAAAGTAGGCACAGTATAAAAAATAGTTATTTTATTTAAAAGTCCAATATACATACAGGAAAAAAAAATCTGGAGATGTACATGTCAGCCTGTTAACAGAACTTACTTCTAAGCCTTTCCTTTGCCCAGAATTAACCTCTTCCCCAGAACACCAGACAGCTTACCCTCTATTACACTGATCATTTTCAGAGGGTTCCCCTGGTCCCCCATAAAACAGGAAGAAACTCATTCTAATCCTCCATCTTTCTTCACAGCACTTACTGCCACCTGACACATGTATTTACTGCCTATTTCCATTTCCATTAGGAATAAAATGACATAAGAAGAAATATTTCAACTGTGTTGCCTGCTAATATTTCCCCAGTGCCTAGAACACTACCTGGTACACAGTAAAGGCTCCATAAATATTTGCTGAATCAATCTCTGGGAGAATTAATTATAGACTTTACACTGGGACACACACACACACACACACACGCACACACACACACTATTTTTTGATACTCTGTAACACTTTCATAATCTAAAAAATAGTTGTTTTTTAAGGTTGATTTAAGCATTTTATTTCTTTTCTAAGTTTGAATCCACTGAAAATGAAAACAGAAATGTCAGTTGCCTTTTCTATAAATCAACAGGATTGTTTTAGGAGATGTCTTAGTCTTCCAGCTATAAACTCTCATAACTAGTTCTCAAAGCCAATGATCAACTTTTCACAGCAGATTCACTACAAATTTAACCAAACATTTTACTGGATGTTCACTTCATACAAGGCTCTATGTTTTGAATACTGAAGTTACATTATTTCCCTTATTATTTTGTAACCGTAGCAACAATATTAAAAGTTTATTCTTCCTCAACAGTCATTGCTTTCTCTATAAAGATATTAATTAATTAATGAGAAATCATCCAAGCTCAATTTCAGATTGAGCAGACATAACACTACTGACAGGCATAACACTAGTCTTCTGACATCTAAATGAGTGTTTCCACTATATGAATTTATTTCAGAGGCCAGCTGATCTCAATCATCTAAGAGAATGTGGCATCCCCCAAATGACTACATTCTATACCTGTTTAGAGATTTGTATCAGGAGATGCAAGCTAACCATGTGCTGTTAGCCAAAAAGAAGTTCTACACTGGCAGGGAAGACCACAGTCTTTCACTGAGAACCAGCTTGGGAAGGCATGGAAGGATGAGGAGAAAGGAACACCCAGGATGCCAGCCAGAGGGCATTCACATCCACGGAGCTGAGTGCCAATGTCATTTCCTATTTTCAATTTGTCCAGGGACATATTCAAAGGGGATCAAGATGAAGATAGACATAAACTGTCAAGAGGAGGAGCCTCCTCAGTATCACCTGCACCTGCTTTGCCCTCAGCTCTGTTCCTCGCCCTCCACCTGTTCTGCTCTGTATTGCAGGAGGCTGGTTCCTGCAGGCTCAGCTGGTCTCTGACTGGGTTCAGCCAGTAACAAGGGGCCGGAGCTGGAGGAGAGAAGCAAGGGCATTTCCACCCTAAACCTCTCCTCTCTCTTCTGTGGCTCTGCTTTTTGGAAGAGGGTCTAGCTGCTCTTGAAGCTGTCAGTTCTGGGTATCCCTGACCCCGCTGCCCCCTTTCCTCCTCAGCCCAGGGTGGCAGTAGCCTCCTGCTATTGCTCATCTCTGGGTCACCTTTCTGTGCCTTGCTTGGCTCTCGGCAACACCACTGTCTGTTATCGCCAACTCCCTGCATTAATTTTTCTCTGTTGTAAATACTTGAAGTGGTTTGCATGTTTCTGGTTAGATCCTGATACACATATGAATTTCAAAATACGTGTTGTTTCTTATGAATTACTCTATCCAACCAAAGGGGAAAGTTCACATAATTTGAAACAATTAAATACTTAACATGCACCAGGTTATGACATCCCTTAACAGGGTAAATGACAACGGAAGAGGCAGCGCCTTGGCTCCTGCTATCCACTTTGGACATTTTAATGTGTGCATATTGCAGCATGAAGAACAGTCTCCACCGTCTAAATGCTTCTAGCAGGAAAAAGGCAGATTCAAGCATGTTTAGAGTCTAATACAAATAAAAAAGTGAAGGTTGGTGAGATCAGCAAGTTAAAAAAACAGCAAGAACACTGGCAAAACAACGAAATTTTCTAAATCTAAAACCTTGAATTTTTTAAATTGGAATTTTAAAGTATGTTTATATTTAACTGTCTAGAACGAGGCTTAACACTTTAAACTTTTAACCTGAAATATTTGAGGACAGACATACTTTAAGATACCAATAAATGAAACACCTTAGCAAATAAAAATGTGAGATCTGATATGTCATTTTACCTAAAATGTCATCTTCTAATTTTTACTCTTTTCTGGTATGACATATAAAAATAAAAATACAAGATTATGAAAAAACCTACCATTATGTATAATTTACATCAATTATTTTGAAGTGTATTCCTTGTAGAGAGCAGAAATTTTGTTTCATTTGTCAAAATATATACTTCCACTCCATTTATTGAGATCACATGAAAAAGCTCTAAAATTACAACTGTCATATTTTTTGGAAACACTACAATATCTATGTTTCAACCACTGATTTCCAAACTGCCTTAATGATACCACTGATATTTATCTGTTCACAAATGTATCTAATTAAATCTCCTACACTTCTAAATTAATTTACAGCATTTTCATAGAGCTATGGCAAAGAAATTAATCAAGTTCAATATACATATATTTTAACTCCAAATACTTTTGAGGCCTATAATTGTTCTGGATCAAAGTTGTCAAATGCATAATAAATAAAGTATCTTATAAAGTAGGTATCAAGAATCACCTTTTAATGTCATACATAATTATAAAAAAGTGATACTCATGAATTCTAAAATCCTCTCATTCTCTTCAATGTTAATGA